CCCCCCCGCAACAATACCTATTTTGTTACAACACTTTGTGAGAAGTAAATAAAGTAATTTATCTGAAGTATATAACAAATGGTAGGCATCTAATTCATGTAACACCTCTACTTCCTGTCTTATAATAATAACACAATATGGCTAACTAGTTGAACACATGCTAAGATTAGTATGTAGCCATAATCCTAATATTTGGCACATTGCATTGTGGTTAACTGATCATGGGCCTATCTGCCATACTAAACCAAGGGTTTCTTGAAGATAAGCAACATTGTTAATAACCATTGTTTCTATTGGGCCCAGCCCAACCCTTGGAGCATAGCACTGTGTGCTGAGTGAGTGGAATTAAGGAATGCTGAGAACAGAGGGGGTCAGGGTTGTAATATGCCATAGGTTAATTACATAGAAGGACAGAAAGGTTAAGATCTTTATCCTTGATTATATAGCAGAGGTCAGAAGTCAGATGTTCTATATGGTCTGTCCAGAGCCTGGAGCATTTAAAAAATTATTTAAAGTCTTTCTGAACAGGATATATTTCAGAGGCCAGTCTGAGACAGGGCCCTTCCATGCATTTCTTTCGCAATGTGTTTAAAGAATTAGGATATGGTAAACTCTTTGCTCTCAAAAGCAATGGAAACATAATTTAATCCCACGGATTATGCAGAAGATCATATTGTCCATCGGATCCAACTCCTCTTAAGTGGACTTAGTTCATTTCATTTTCTCTTCCTATTCTTGTTTGCTCTCAAGCGGAGAAACTGAGCAGCTTTGAATTACACTCGCACACAGTTGACACAACTCAGTAAGTGTTTGTTGAATGAATAAATAAATGACGAAAGAACTCTTTTAGCCACTCCCACTCCCTGAGATGCTGGTCTTTACGTCATCAAGATGCCAACACTCTCAGCCTGCCCTTCCCCCGTCTTACTGCATCTCTCGTTCACACCCTCGTGCCCTCCCTCCTCACACCTGCTCCAGTGCCCACTATGACTGGGTCAGTCCCATTCTTCTCCTCAGTGACACAGCATCATGTGAGAGCATCTCTAAACACTGATGATCTGGACCAACGCACATCCGGCCACTTGACTACAGCGGGCACTTCCTGATGACCTTATTATTCAGACCTTGCATTTTTCCTGGCGTTGTGCCACAGTTTCCCCAAGTTTCTCTCTGTTCTCCAAGCCCCAGTCTTATTTCCTCCCAGCTCTTAGCATCGGCAGACGACCTCGTCTGCTACTTCACAGGAGTTGGGAAGCCAGCAATGTCCGTCTTGGCACAAGTCAGATCTGTCACACGTGTTTGCAAATCCCCTCACAACCAGCTTGCTCACGTACAAATCCCTGTCCATTGTTGCTCTTCCCTGGGCTGTTTTCGCGTTGTCTCTTCAGTCTTGTGTTGACTGTTTCCAGAATGTGCCATGTCCTTGGCTCTGCTTTTGCCTATTCTTCCAGTTATCTGTTGCTGCATATCAAAATACGCCCCCCACCCCGAATTAACTGTTTTAAACAACTCCGTTTTATAATATAACACAATTTTGTCAGATATTCAGGCAGGGCCTGCCTGACTGGCATCGACTGGGTCGCTTGGTGGCATTCAGCCCGGGGCCGATCGGAGGAGGCCAAGCCAGCTTCATCCAATGCCCGGCACCTTGCTCTGGATGGGCAGGAAGGCTGGGGTCACTCAGATGGCTTCCTCTCCATCACTAAGGAATCTCTCCGTGTGATATCTTCAACAGGGTCATTGGACTTCTTATTTGGCATATCCAGGCTCCCAGAGACAAAGTTCTCTTAAAAGCTAGGCTTAGAAATAACATAGTATCTCTTCTGACAGTCTAAAGATCAAAACCGTCATAGGCCAGCCCTGATTCAAGGGAAGAGAAAACAGATTCTACCACTTGATGAGAGGTGTGTGAAAGAATGTACTGGCATTTAAGATTTTTCTACCAACCTAGCAAAGGACCACACTGCTTTATGACCTGGGTTATGACATTTGACATAACTTTTTAAATAAATTCTTTCAAGGGGTGCCTGGTTGGCTCAGTCGGTTAGGTGCCCAACTTCAGCTCAGGTCATAGTCTCACAGTACGGGAGTTCGAGCCCCACGTCGGGCTCTGTGCTGACAGTTCAGAGCCTGCTTCAGATTCTGTGTCACCTTCTCTCTCTGCCCCCCCGCCCCCTCCGGCTTGTACTCAGTCTTTCTCTGTCTCTCAAAAATGAATAAATGTAAAAAGTATATATAGAAGGACTACCCAGTTATGGGGAGTGCAGACAGCAGCTTTCAGCTGTCACCATCTCCAACTCTGCCTCGGTGGTATAGGGCATGATTTTTCCTGAGCTCATGCCTTTCCTGAGGTAGCTCGCATCCAGTGACTGAGTGATACAGGTGGGTAAAGTCCCAGGCACTTTGGTCCAGCCATTTCTTTCTTTCTTTCTTTCTTTCTTTCTTTCTTTCTTTCTTTCTTTCTTTCTTCTTTCTCTTTTTAACCCTTGTTTATTTTTGAGAGAAAGGGTAGACAGAGCATGAGTGAGGGAGAGGCAGAGAGAGAGGGAAACACAGAATCCGAAGCAGGCTCCAGGCTCCAAGCCGCCAGCACAGAGCCGGATGCGGGGCTCGAACCCACGAACCGTGAAATCATGACCTGAGCCGAAGTCGGACGCTCAACCGACTGAGCCACCCAGGCGCCCCTGGTCCAGCCATTTCTGACTCACACAAAACAATTCTGATTAGTGACACTCCAGAGCTCTCCTCTGGGCTGATGGAGGTCTGCATGGTGGCTTGACTTCTACCTTTGCCAAATACAGCTCCTCCCCTCCCTTCACAAGTGTTTACCCCGAGTAAACATCTTGCTAACAAAGCTGTACTCTGTTTTCAGAGTACCCTGCCTGTGACATTTGTCTATAACTACATAACTATACATCTGGATGCATGTGTATATACACATACACATTATATATGTACATATATAACATACATACATTATATATGTATACAGTAAAACCTTGGTTTGTGAGCAGAATTCATTTCGGAAACATGCTTGTAATCCAAAGCACTTGTATATCAAAGCAAATGTCAAGAACCATTGGCTTAGTTGTGATCATGTGACGTTTGGCATTCTGTACTACTCATATTGCAAGACATCGCTCGTTTATCAAGTTAAAATTTATTAGAAATGTTTGCTTGTCTTGCGGAACACTTGCACAACAAGTTACTCGCAATCCAAGGTTTTGCTGTATATACACATATACAGGTTACACACACACACACACACACACACACACACACACTCACATCCATCCTGGTGTCTGAAGAGGTGCTTCTGTCCCTATCCAAGGCTAACCACGTCCAGTTGGTACTGGTTGTTTTCATCTGCCGTGTACCTCAACTCTTCCTAGTCTGTTGGTCTGAGCGCCATTCGTGTTGGGGGAGAGCGGAGAATAGCCCCTCCTTCATTCACCTGCATTTCTAACGGGGGACCTTCAACCCTAATACCCTGTCTTCCCCTTCCTTCTCTACCCACAGGGCTGGGCACAGAGTCTTGATGGCATTTGACAGGAGCTGTGGAGGAAGGCTTTCTTTTCTGATGGCAAAGTTGCAAAGACACATGCCATGCCAGAAGCAGCCCGTGGAATGGAACTGGCCTGTGCCTGTCTTCATGGGAGTGTGAAAGATACATCAGGGCAGCAGAGGTGAGAACAATGGTCCTGGAAGCATCCGATCTCTGGGTACTGACATCTCCAGATCTCTAGCTGATCACAGAAGCCCTGTTTGGTCCTACGTGAGTTGATGAAGGTACTCTGTCACTTGCAAGGAAGAGTCTCGATGAATAGATCCTTTCGGTTTTGCTCTGTGTTCTCTGTCTCTGTGTCCCTTTCTCCTTCACTTATCCCACCTTCCAGTGTCTTTAGTCTTCCCTGTCTACTGGCTGCTTTCCCTTTGCATAGAACAAACACAGACCACCGATGGATGGTGGAGAGAGGACTGTCCATTGAGCTCTCAGCTTCTTGAGCTACATTTCTTACCATTCGTTGCATGGCTAAATTCTTTTCATAGTGGGCCACACATACCCCCTCATCCCCTTACTTCATCCTCTTAAGCTCCTACAATCTGTCTTCAGTCCTTGCCTCTCTGCTGAAATAGCAATTTCGAAACCAGTTATCTAGTATCGGCCACGACAAAGCAACCTTTCCTCGGTTTTATTATCTTGGATCTATTTCTGACATGTGTCACCGTTAATCACGGACAACCTCCTCGGCCCTCTGAACAGCCATGGCCTCCAACTTCCCTTCTTAGAGGCCCTACGTTCCACTGGCATTCCTGAGGAGTGGGGTTCTCATGGAGTCGTGAGGGAGAAGATTTAGAGCGTCAGCCAGAGGGAGCCCGAGAGATGGTTTGGAGAGCAGCGGGGAAAAAACTGAGGGCACTTGGTTGGGTGACTTTGTTCTTCGTAAAGTAAGGCTCGAGGCCACTGGCCCAAAGTGTAGAAGACCGGATGGACATATTACTATGCAAGAAAATGGAGAAATGTCAGAAGTATTGTAAAGGACAGGGGCACCTGGGTGGCTCAGTCAGTTGAGTGTCTGACTCTTGATCTCAGTTCAGGTCCTGATCTCAGGGTCGCGACTTCAAGCCCCACGTTGGGCTCTGTGCTGGGCGTGGAGCCCACTTGAAAAGAGATGGGGGGGGGGCGCCTGGGTGGCGCAGTCGGTTAAGCGTCCGACTTCAGCCAGGTCACGATCTCGCGGTCCGTGAGTTCGAGCCCCACGTCGGGCTCTGGGCTGATGGCTCGGAGCCTGGAGCCTGTTTCCGAGTCTGTGTCTCCCTCTCTCTCTGCCCCTCCCCCGTTCGTGCTCTGTCTCTCTCTGTCCCAAAAATAAATAAACGTTGAAAAAAAAAAAAAAAAGAAAAGAGATGGGGGGAAGAAACATTGTAAAGAACAAATGAGCACACCCAAAAGAAAATGACTAATGTGGTTATACACAGGAAGCGAGGGCCCAGTAACATAGCTAGTTGGAGTTAAATCAGCACAGTTTCGTAATTTTTGCCAAAAGTTCAAATCCAGGGGAAACCAGTTACGGGGCAATTGCAAGCTCAGGGGTATGAAGGAAATGGCTCACCAGGGGTCCAGACTGGACGAAGTTGAGGCCAGTAGAGGATCTCAACCTTCAGACCGCGGCAAATGCTAGTGTAGCAAAGTTGAGAGAAGTAGAAAAGACGATGACTAATTGGTAAAGCAGGGATCTTGGAGAAGAAAAGCTCCAATCGATGACATGCCCCTGGTGTGACCATCCCCTGCCCCCGTGGTTCTCAAATTATGCACCTGAATCACCCAGAAGCCTTGTTAAAGTAGATCGCTGGCCCCACCCGTAGAGATTCTGACTCAGCCGGTCTAGAGTGGGTCTGAGATTTGCATTTCTAACAAGTTTCTGGTGATGCTGATGCTACTGGTCCAAGGACCATGCTTTGAGGGCTGCTGATTTGTTGTGAGAAATAGGAAGGAGATGAAGGTCATTGACGGTGGGGCGGTTGGGATCTGAGAGGTCATCAGTCATCAACAAAAGCTTAGGGTACGGATGGAGTCTCAGGTGAGCTGATGCTCGAGGCATCAAGCGTCAGAGGACTGTATCAAGGAGGGAGGGAAGGGGGCTGCAGAGGAGAAGAGCTCTCGGGCAATGGCTGAAGGACAATGGTCTGCGAGGAGGTTGAGAGCAAGTGTGACCATCTGCAAATTGGGGCCAGGGAAGAGGAAACAGCTTCGTCAGGAAGGGGGACTGAGAACTATTTATAATTAAGGGAAAGCCACTCTTCCACTTGGACAGTGAGGTGGAAAGAACACTGGTATAAGAGTCTGGTGCCGTTTGAGAGTTTGCTCATTAAACAGGACACGGTTGCACAGAACACCGAAGCGGTGACTAGTGGAGAAGGCGATGTGGGGACGAGGGGTGGGTGGGAACCTGGTGTGGATGGACGTGGGGCCGATGGTGGGCAAGTAGGCAAGAAGGCATGGTGGGTAGGCTCTGGCTAGGTGAAGATTGAACCACCCCTCTGTTGTGTTGGTGAATGCCTATGTCTGCTTTTGCTTCAAGAATGTCTTCTTAGCATCTGATAATATTAGTGTGTTTGGGTAGAAGGTAGGCAAAAGGTACTGTGAGTGGGGCCAGGAGGCCAGGCTGAGGCAATGCCTGGGTGGACTTTTTTCTTTCTTTCTTTCTTTCTTTCTTTCTTTCTTTCTTTCTTTCTTT